CAATCTTGGTTTTGAAAAAAAAATACAGCACCCTAATTAGCATATTAAGCCTCCTCATTTCCCAGTACTGTATAATGTTGTGAAAGCTAATCTATAATGTATTGGATGTTATGCAAATTCTTGGTGCTCCGTATGGGGTTTGTAAAGGCATGCAAATTAAAAATAGTGTTTGGAATAGGACTGGGGGGAGGGGAAAATTTGCACAATAAAATATGCAGGTAGGAGGAAAGGTGTTTATAACCTTCTTCCTATTGTTTGTGTATTCTCAGCTGTACAATGCTTTTCAAAGCGGAGAGATGTATTGCATAAAATCTCTCCAAATTGGATGGTTTTTAAATGAAATTTAAAATGAGAGCACTGTTCTCTAAACAATAATTCACCTCACTCTCTGCTGGTGCTTGTAAATGGTAGGTAAAGGCACTCAGCTTTCACTGACTGGCATTTCAGTCATGCACGGCTGCTCATAGCGTGTTTGCCTGGGTGTCACTGGGGGTCTCAACACAGCCACTGCTGTCCAGGAGAGTCCACAGTGGTGGCCTCGCTAGGACCTGGCTGGTGGCCATCAGTGTAACCCAGCGGGGCAGGTGCATTACTTGCAGCACCCAGGGTGTTTGCAGTGTGCAGAGCGTGCTTTGATCCTGTTAATGTTTTATGGCCCTACCTACAGGAGGATGTAAGTGTAGCTGCAGCACAGCTGGCTTTTTAGGATGCCGCTGGCTCCTGGTGGAGGGGCTCTGTGCCTGCTGCCAGCACCGAGCCAGCAAACATGGTCAGTCTCCTGCGGCTTGTCACCGCCAGCCGTCGGCCGTGTCCGCCTGAGTGCGTACAGCCAGCCCTGATTGATACTTAATTAGATTACAGCTGCCGCTTAAAAATAGCCATTTTATAAAAATAAAATCTTGGCTGGTGTCAGACGGAGCCCTGTGCAGACCAGAAGTGGTGCTGCCTCTCCCTGGGCATCCAGGAAGCTCTGCAGGCAGTGCTGGCATTGCTGCCACTGGGATCAGGGACTGGTGGTTCTCCCCACCTCGATGGCTTTTCCTTCCCCTTGCCTTCCTGGTGGCCTTGGTGACACCACACTGGGTCATGTCAGTGGGAGTGGGGAGTTCAGCTCAGGAGCTCTTGAACGTGCTCTTTTTTATCTGGTGCTGCACAAGCTGCCTGGGCTCAGCTGAGCACAGCCTATCCCACCTCCATGGGCTGCTGCCCTCCTCCCTCAGGGCACGTAGCACCTCCGAGGGCAGCGCTGTCCGGCATCAGCCACCGACAATCTCACAGCCACCTCAGAGGCAGCTCCTTCGCAGATGAGGGAAGGGGGCTTTTCTTTACCAGCTACTTCTTCCAGCATCTTGCCCTGCCCCAGGCATGGCAGGGCTCGGCCCTCCTGGTCTGGGGACCTTTCCCTAAATTCCATTGTGCAGTTAAGCTTGTATTTCAGGTGTTTTGTATAGGTTGTGCTGCTCTTTCTCCTGAGTCTCTTCCTCTCAGCAGAGTCTCAGGCCCTTTGGCCAAGGGTGGGAGAAAGACAGGCAGCAGCAAGATCCAGACACGAGGCTGGCACTGGGGCAGACATGGGCTCAGCTCCTGCATCTCCTCCACTGACAACAGGCCTGGATGGACCCAGCATGGGCCGTGCATGTGTCTGCCTGGTGTTATCCCATGCAAAGTGGCACAGCATGGCTGAGGATAAGGGCCCAGCCCTTTCTGCCCCACCAGCTGCCCTGCAGCCATGGAGCAGGAATCAGAGCTTTTCAAGCAGGAGCAGGAACTGAGGATGTCCCTTATGCAGGGAGCCTGTCTAATCGAAGCAGGCAGGAAAAAAACCCAAGACATCACACAAGGAGGAAATGGAAATTACAAAAGCCGACTGAGAGCTCCTCGGGTGCTGCTTTCCCACAGGAAAGAGGCAGATGAGCTCAGGTACCCTTGGGCTGTGGGCTCTTGGCAGCACCAGTCAGCAGCTCCTTTTGTCCTGCCAGCATTTCCCACCCTGGGCACTTTCAGCAAGCGTTTCCATATTCACTCATTTGCTTCACAGAGGTCTACATTTGCTTATTTTCTGCTGCAGTTCCCTGGGCTGGGGGAGTTCAGGATGCAGCAGCTCCGGGGAGCGCAGCCAAGCACCGTGCCTCTGAGCACAGCTCCTGCAGCAGCAACCACAGGAGCTGGAGAAGCCACCGCTGGCAGAAAAGCAGCCGAGAGCGCTGGCAAAGCCTCCCTCCAGGAATGCACCCTGGGGGTTTTTGCTCTGCAGATGTGCACACACACACACACACACACACACACAACTGTGGGCTGTGGGGGACCGGGAGCCACGAGCACTGTTTGACTGTGAGAAGCCACAGGGGCTGGATTTGGGGCTTCTGTCTGTTAGTGCAATACGAGGGTCCTGCTAGATCAAACCCACCCGAATCCATAAAGCTACTGCAGGTGCCTGTGGGGCACCAAACTGGGAAATTGGCCTTGCTTTGTTTCTACTGCCTTCATTTAACAGTGAGTGCCGATTACTCAAAGCGATATGGGCAGGACCTGGTAATGTAGAGATGCTCTAGAGTTAACTTAAGGGGATGATCCAGTTGCCTGCAGTGTAAATACTTTGTGGCCAGGAACCCTGCTTTATCGCTTTGTATAGTATTAAAGTAGTTTAAAGATTGAATAACATAAAATAACATAATATAATGTTATTTATGTTATTTCCCACGTGAAGAACTCCTGTAAACCTTGCAGTATTGAAACTCAGTGAACAAGGCATCTTAGACAAGCTGAAAAACAAATGGTGGTACGATAAGGGTGAATGTGGAGCCAAGGACTCCGGAAGTAAGGTCAGTCGCTGAAGGTCTTTTTGTACTGATTAGCAATCATGTTTTGACCCACTGTTTGTTTATACCAAGAATGACTTTCAGAAGTTGCTATTTACATTTTGAAGGTTGAAAGAAAAGACTAGAAAAAATAATTTAAGTCTCAGAACATGACAGCGTTTTTCTTATATGCAGTAGCAGACTGTAGTTGTAAGTATGTTTTACTGTGTGAGTATTTTGCTAGAAAAACATGCAGAGAGAAGCCCCCAAAGTCTCCCAAGGTGGTGTTTTCAATTAAATGCACAAATTTTAGCACAGTCATTGTTGTATTATTCAGGCCAGCATCTTTTCTTATTTTTAGTTTTATTGAAAAAACACATTTTTGTTTCAAAATTATGAGTTAACTTCTCTACATGTCAGTTTGGGAGACAGTCACATGCTTGCTAAGGATGTAAATTTTCAGGACAGACCATTGATAAGGAAAAAACTCCTCTCCCACCTTGTTTCCCAATTCAGTCTGAAATTGGTTGGATTTTTTAAAAAAAATCTAGAAATCCCAATGGTGAGTCATTACCTAAATGTTGTATATTCCTTTTTATATTGCTTTGAACCATTTTGCTGCTGTACTGCCCTGTTGCCCACCAGCTGTGCTGTGGGGCTGGCCAGCCTCATGTGGAACCACTGTAGGCTCCAGGGGACATCACGCTCCTGAGGTGGATCACCCCTTAAATTGCAGGAAATATTTATTTACACCATTCAGTTAAAAGAAAACACAGGGGGGGGTTTTTTCTTAATGCTTATAGACCCATTGGGGAGAAAAACCCTGTAAAAGTGCTGGGCTTGTTGGAGTGAAGGACATTTTCAAAGGCACTAAGAGGAGGAGAAATCCAGCTCCAGCTGAAATAGGTCGCAGTTGAGTGCCTAACTCCCCTGGTGCCTTTGGAAGTGCTCTCTGTAATCATTCAAACAGAAAACTATAATTTCAAAGCACCCTCTCAGTGTCGGAGGACAATTTCAAGTTCCAGCGAAGCCAGTAATAAAATTTCATTGATTTCAGTTGGACTGGAAGTTGCTTAGGGCACAACCCTGTAGCTGTTGTATGAGATAAATTTGGGATCATGGGATATGTGAACACACAGCAGCTGCAGAAGGGAAGTGTAATTGGAAAGAGGTATAAATGAGTAAGATCTTTAGTTTACATGACAGGCTGTTTGTTGCAACTGCATGTATCCAAATTGCTCGTGAAATGCACAGACACTTGCAAGGTAGACCCTATTTTATTCCGACTATATGCGAATTTTTCTCTCCTTGGAGAGACTTGTTAACCAAGCTCTGTCAGCAAGTGTCTTCTCTGGGCACAGCCAGGTTGCTTTGGCACCTCCCTGTCTGTCCCAGAGTGGTGTGGTGTGGTGTGCCAGCCCAGCCAGGGCCGTGCCAGCCGCCCTTCCTGCTCACAGCCAGCCCACCTGCCCGTGCAGCAGCAAAAGGGTTGCAGCTCTATTTATTCTGATTACAGAATCCTGTTCTTAAAAATGCAAGTTTCTCCCCCATCTGACATGTATTGAAGGAAGGTAAACCCTGGCCAGTGATTTTTGGTTTACAATGTCTGTTTTTATTCAATAACTCAGTCTCCCAGAGGTGCTAGTTTAGCTCAGGACTCTGCTGCTTGACCTCTAAGTAACTGACCATCTTCCTAGGGTGTTGGGTTTTTTTAATATTGAAAAAAAATGTAGATAAATTTAGCAGCATCTCAGCAATTTTACCTACATTCACCAGAACCAAGTGTGCAGTGGTTTTGCTTTTTCTTGTTCTGGTTTTGTCACGGCCTTTTCTAAAACCCACTGTTTTACTCAGCCACTGCTTTCCCCGGCACAGCTTTCCCGCAGTGCCTTTGCCACCGGGGATGCTCGGCCGTAGGCAGCTTTGCTCTGGGACACCAAAGGCCTGGGACAGTCAGTGGCCAAAAATATCTCATCGCCTTGGAATCAGCCAGGGCTTCACCCGCCACAGGGTGGAAGGCAGAGCAGTGACTGCTGTGCAGCCCCAGGCTGCGGGGATGGGGGGACAGCGCTGGTCCGTGAGCCGGACACCAAACACCACGAGTGCAGCTATTCCTGCTAGGACTAAGTGCAAAGTAACTTGTTGTCTGTCTGCCCGTCTGCTCCTCGCAGCAAAGCTAACGGCATCGCTCGTTTCTCTTAGGACAAGACGAGCGCTCTGAGCCTGAGCAATGTTGCTGGGGTGTTCTATATCCTTGTGGGAGGCCTGGGGCTGGCCATGATGGTGGCACTGATCGAGTTCTGCTACAAGTCTCGGGCCGAGTCCAAGCGAATGAAACTCACCAAGAACACGCAGAACTTCAAACCTGCTCCCGCCACCAACACCCAGAATTACGCTACCTACAGAGAAGGCTACAACGTGTACGGCACAGAAAGTGTGAAAATCTAGGGGTACGGCTGCGGGCCGGGAGCTGAACCCGCTGGGGTTTCCTCTTTCTCTCTTTTTTTTAACTGTCCATGCTATTGTGTTGTGTGCATCAGCGGGCTGCTGCAAGAGGGCTTTTGAAACATCATCTTGTGGCAGTCTCGAAGTGTCAGTGGTTTAAATTTTTGCCCTGATCAGAAGTAAGCTTGGTACCATCCTGTATTGCACACAGTGGTAGCTGGCTTCATGCTGTAGTGAGTAACAACTCCTCTCTCCAGCATCGTGCTGGTTCAAAATGGAAGTATTTTGTTAAATGCTTTAAAAATCACGTCTCTCTTGCTGGTGATCTCTTCCCCTTTCTTTTTTAAGCTATGATCAGGTAAGTGCTCTTAGGAAGTCTCAAAAAAATCTACAATAGAACAAAAGCTTCTACACTAGAATTTGTGATTTCTAAAGCAGGAAAAAAAAATAGAGCTGAATTGCTGAAAAATTACTCTGGAAAAGCCTGGTTAGCCCACAGCCTGTGCCTCTCCCCCGGCTGAGCTCTCCTGCCCCTCGCTGCCAGGCAGTGATGAAATCTTTCTGGTTTTATTATAGATCCTCACCCTGACAGCATGCAAGAGGAAAAGCAGCAGAGAATGTGGCTACTTCATGGATTTGGACCACCTGAGCCAGTCGTACTCTCTCCGAGATGTCAGGCATGACACGCGTTGATGATGGTGCAATGTACTTTTAATAGGAAAAACTGATTTTTTTTTTTCCTTCAGTGCCTTATGGAAGACTCTGAGACTCACAACAATGCAAACCATCACTGAAATATTCTTGCTTTGCTTGAAAGAAATAAAAGAAGAGAGGAAAATGAAAGAAAAAGAAAATTAAAAAAAAAAGAGAGAAAAAGAAAATAAAACCAAAAAAAAAAAAGAAAAATGAGAAAAAGAGAAAAGGAAAAGGAAAGGACTGGTAACAAGATATTGGTATGTGAAAAAAAAAATTCTTGTAAAAAAAATCAGTGCAACGAAAGCCATTCTTTGATACCACTGCACAGTAACTGAACTTGTGTCCTGAAAGCAAATCGCAGCCGGTTTCCTCAGCCACCCCAATCGTATCAAATTATGAAACTCCTCCTGACACAAAGCCTCAGAAATCTGCTGCGTGCGAATGCAGACCGGCCTGCCACTGCTTATAGGAGCTGATGTCAAGATGTTTCAGTATTTACTTACAGTGGTGTGATTTTATTTTTTTTTCTGAGCCACTTTGATCTCTCCAGCTAATTTGAGCAATTCTGTATAACAGTAAAAGGTGTAACACCTGAAGAAAAGAGTCTGTGCATTCAAACCAATTAAGGTCAATGACTGCGAATCCGTAAATCCAAAAGAAGGGAATTTGTGGAACTGCATGTCTTGCTTCCAGATCAGTAAATTAATTCCTTGACAAGGTAGCTAAAGTGCAGGCAGAAAATATTGCATTCCTTTTTTTGTTCTATCATCAGGCATACCTACAGGTGCTTTATTAAAATGACATTGGGTGGCTTTTAAAATAAAAAAGTAAAGGAAAAGCTACTTGCTGTTTAGGTTCAGACCATATATCTCTTTTCTTGCTGTGCATTTGCATTTTAATTCACTGTTTAATATCAAGCAATGAAGCAAGAGAAGGGCAGGTTAGTTTTTCCCAGGCCTGCTTCTGCTTCACCCCAGTTCTTTCCCAACTAGCACTGTGCTCAGCTAATGCTCCTCAGTAACGGTCCTTGTAAAACAGAAGTAAGGGAAGAGGATAGTAACTCAAATTAGAGCTGCAGTTCCAGAGTAATAGTAAGCGATCTAACATGACTCCTGCTAGTACTGTTATATTATATCAGCTCCTGCCAACTCTTGTTTCATGGCTCCTGGTGAGAGGATGCTCCTGTCCCTGCCTCTCAGTGAGGAGGACACCGTGCTCCGCCAGCTCTGCTCCAGGCAGGGGCTCGCTATTACTCACATCCAGCGTCTTAGACAGCAGCATTTCAGCCTTGAACCTCTGCCTGGAAACTACTTAACT